AATCCAGCTACCACCAGGCTCACATCTTGGGCTTTGAGTGAGCCCAACACAACATCTATACCATGTATGATCTGCTAGAGCACATGAAGGGACCAGTCCTGCAGATCCACAGCCGCAGATCTCCACGACTGGGACAACAGGAGGAGTCTCAGTGAGGGTCCAGTATTAATGGAGGCCTTGAACCACCACCAATTCATTGCAGTGAATATTGCAAGCAAAGCTGTTGGGGCAAAAGGGTATACTGTGTGACACATTGCAGCTTCCAACACCACTATGAAGAGTGAATATGTGATGGAGAGGAGGGCAAGATGGAGGAACGAAGTGGTTGTTTTAAATCATTTTTATTTATTTTTCATTTTCTTTTGGGAGGAGGCTATAAGGGCGGAGGGCAGACATGGAAGCCCTGGGAAGTGAGTGTCTGTGTGAGTAGGGGGGGGGCGCATGATGTAAACTTACCAAAGAATCAAATTTTAAATTAGGTTTAAAAAGAGTGGAGGATATATGAAATACTTACACAATAGATACCTAAGTTCAAACTTTGCCTCTACCACTTAGTGAATGACCTTATGTGAGTTAGTTAACTTTTAACATCAGTTTCCTTATCTACAAGATGGGAATAAATATTGTCTATTCCAAAGAATCATTCCAAGGCTCAAATACTGTGAATATAAAAGGCAGGATAAATATTAAGTTATCAATAACAGTTCCACCCCATAGGAAACTAATGCATCAAAATGCCTCCAATTACACTGTTATACATACATAGTCAGACATTTAAAACATGTAACTCTTCAGTAATAGCCCTACAAAACTTCACATATACTATAAATCTATCTGTATTTTAATCTCCTAAATAGTGAAATTAATTTTCAAACCTATTGTCATAAATTCTCAATTGGTGATACTTGTACCATATTTTGTAGTAACTGTCCTTTGTTGCATGAGAATTGTAAACCAAGTTATACTAGCATGCATTACTACATAATGTAGCATAATCACTTCTAAATTTATATACAGAGTTGACTGTAGGAAATTATTTGAACACACTTAAGAAATAGTCTCCTCAGTTGTAAGATGTCCAAAGAAATATTTTAAGGGATCAAAGATTATGGCACCATGTTGAATATAATAAGTACTTATTAGAAGACAAAAGCTTTGATTCATTTCTCTTAATTAGAAGAATTAATGAGCTGTGCATATCTATATATATATATGTATATAAAAGGCAGGCAGAGGAAATATGCAAATATGGGGAGGAGGACCTTAAAAGTGCCAGACAAGCTGAGAGTGCTTTAAGCTACTGGAAGCCATCTGAGCTCTGGTTCCTTCCTAATTCTTAACCCTGTATCATTCAGAAAACATTCATTCCTCCTCTCCATTTTCTAGGTAACAGAGGACTTTACATTTTAGTGCTCACATAAACTCTTTTTCTTTCCAGACTCTGATTCTCTCCCACATTTAAAGCTGAATTTAACTCAACTCTTTACCAAAAGACTTATACATATAAATATGTTCTGAATTTGAAACTAAAAGTATTAACTGAGGTCTGGCAATCTTTCTGCAACAGTGATTTGCTATAGGCCATCGTTCTAGATTTTAAATTTATTTAAAAATAGTAAATGTAGATAATAAGAAATTAACTAAGAATAAGTAGTGAAAATTTAATTTAGAAAACTAAGGAGAAAAGAAAAAAAGTAATACATATCCCACAGTTGAAATAGTCAAGTTCTGTTTATGTATGTCCAACATCACACACATCTGAATTCTCATAGTAAGGTCAGACCATATGTACCGTAACTTTGTACCCACTTTTCTCTTAATACCAAACAAGCATTTCTCAGAACATTGTTTTTTAATTTAAAAAATATTTTAAAGGAATTAAAGCCCCTCCCCCTTTCATTCTGATCATCTATTTTTTCACCATACTAAATAATTAAACTAAAAACAAAACAAAAATGCAGGGGAAATTAAGGTAAGAACTGAGACTATGCACCCATGCTTCCATGCCCTCAGCTGTCTACATGGGAGGGGGAAACTCATTACCATTGGCAGCTGCTCCAGGTCTGTAAAATGCATGTTAAAGGCCGGCAGTCTTTTCTTGGTGGCAGATGTCCAGAAGGCTTCAGATGATAACAAGCGGACAGTGATTGATTCTGGAGTTTGGTAACAGCAATTCATGTGAAAATAACTACAAGAAGCAAATTCTGGTCCCACCCAGAGAGTATCTTGCTTAGACCCAGTTTTGCTTTAAGAATATAGCTAATTATATGGCAGTATTATAAAATTTATAAAGTATGCAAACTAAATATTAAAGGACTAAATATTAAAAAGAAAGAACACAAGAGAGAAAACTATGTGTTAAAACAATAGAAAGCTAGCTGGGTGGTGTGGATCACGCCTTTAATCCCAGCACTTGCAAGGCAGAAGCAGGCGGATCTCTGTGAGTTCCAGACCTACAAGAGCTAGTTCCAGGACAGATGCCAAAGCTACACAGAGAAACAGAGAAACCCTGTCTCGGAGAGGGAGAGAGGGACAGGAACAGGGACAGGGACAGAGACAGAGACTAGGCCCTAGGTTGAATCTCTAGAACTAAAAGGACAAGAACAAGATAGAGAAAAGGAGACATGAGTGAGAAAAATTAACTTTATGACATCACTGCAGCAGAAGCTTCTGGGAGGGAAGAACTGGGAACTAGGAATAAAATGGAACAGAATAAGTGGAAATATATTTAAAATATCAAATGTACTATGGTTCCTCACAAAACTCCATCTTATTTTCAAAACTTAAAATTATGACACATTTCAAGCCATTCTTCCATACAAAGTGATCAATAAAGCTATCATGAGTCCAAAAATACACTGAACACATTTTTCCATTAATTTTATCACTTAGTGTGACTTCTGTCCATAAAGAGACAGTTTGAAGAATTCTCTAATGCCTGCAGAAAGATTCAATTTTTTACATCAGTCTAAACACCACTATAATGCTGAGTATTCAGTTGGCAGTTAAGTATTCCCCATGGCACAACTGCCATCCCCTTTGACGCCTGGTCCTCTTAGGAAATGAGATCTGTATTCTCTTTCAGTATCAATGTGTGTACACATACAAACTGTACAAAACCATTCCCAGAGGCCTCTGAACTCCTTTTATCTCTAACAACCTCTGTATCAGAAAAGGAGGGATTTAAAGACAACTAACTAGTAAAGTGCAAACTGAGCCACAGAAAAATGAAGACAGGGCAGAACTACAGAAAGAACTTGACCATTCTGAATCACACTGGTCAATGCACATTTCATTTAGCATTTAGTTAAGTGAAGTCACTGTGTTTTCATCTCAGAGCTTCCTATGGTTGAACCAGGCTATCAGACAAAACAGAGGCACTACCAACTCTTGAGAATAGGCTCCCAATCTCATTTCTGTCTCCCATGCCTGGGTCATAGATAGCATTCATCAGAGAGAGAATGAATGACTAAATGAACACACTAGGACAAAATTCCTACAGATGGAAGAATCTATATGCAGCATTGTGTTCTTACAAGAGTCCTTATTATCATTAACTGTTCTTTTAGTTGACTACTGGCATGTGTATTTTAAAAAATTTGATAAAATTTCCTAGATTTGTGTCTTAAAACTTATTCCTAAAACACAAAACAGCTTTACATTAATCTGTTATAATAGCAGTAACTAACAATGTTTATCAGTGAACAAGTAGATCTTATGAAAACAAGGCTTGTGTGGGAAACAAATGTATAAATTACAACTATTTCCAAAAATGCTAACCTTTACAAATTTCATAACTGAAACTTAAATGCATTTTTAATTTTTTTGCAAAAATTGCATGGAAGATAGAAACTAAAGCACCATTCCAATATACTAAAGGTAATTGCTGCATCTACTGTTCATGTCATGTTGATGTATGACTATGTAGCAAAGGTCAACCTTCTGCACTCATACATTATCAAATTTGAAAGCACAATATTTGATTCTGACCAACCTTTAAACTGCCCACAATATGTGTGAAAAATAGGTGGAGTTTTACCGTGGTTAAAAAAAAAAATGAACCCATGTTTCGGAAGCAGAAAGGTCAAGAAGTCAGTGGTAGGGTTAGATGTCAGTACTATGAATCTCACAGTGTCTTAGCTTATCAGCAAGGTCTAGTACAATGATTACAAGCAAAAATTGCTATACTAATGAAGACGAAGACCTAAAAAATTAAATAGCACAGGCCCTCTGACAGAGGGCAATACTTGGTGGACAATAATGCAAAAATAAGGACATAAATCACTCTCTGGAGATAATAAAAACCCACAGTACACCTATCAGTTGCGCGCCTGTGGAAGGCACTGTTGAGAACACAAGTCTCAGCTGCCATATCCCTCACTACTCATCCAGAGTGCAGCAGCCTAAAACTCAGCTCCTGATCAGAAGACATGCCAGCATTCCTCACACTCTTCTCCCTACTCCACACACACACACAACCCTGCTAACATACAACTCAGTAGTCATGTGGCATCCTGGATTCAAAACTAGTGCTTGCTGGGTAGAAAAATTGGCCTTCAGAATCTACTGAAACCTGAACAGCTGCTAGTCTCTCCATCAGGACTAGGAGACAGTAGGAGCAGAGAATGGAGAATAGCAGAATGAAAATATTTGCTTTCAGTACACTATGACTAATGTAGTATTTACTCTGGTGGGAGCACTGGTTCATGGCCCTTGTATGTGGATGTGAGGACAACTTTCCAAATCAGCTCTTTCCTTCCACCATGCATGTCCTAGGGATTGAACTCAAGTAGTCAGGCTTGGTAGCAAGTGACTTTACCAACTGAGAAATTTTTGCCTGGCTATGGTTACTTTGCAATAAATTGGACTATAAGAGGTTGCTGTATTTTAGAGAAGAAAGGTCTTACAATTGGAAAAAAAATCAAAAAAGGTCCTTGAAACCCAAAAGAAAAATGTGCTCAAAGGGAACAGCAAGAATCCATCACAACATTCAAGCAAAATAGGTCTCAAGAATATCAATTTTATTTCGATCTATATTCAGTTTCAATTACAAGACCCAAAGCATTCTTATCTAAAAATCCATACACTGTAGCTATGTGAACACATAGGTGAGAATAAAAGTTTATTCCAAATTTATTTTTTGAAAGACTGTATAAAGCAAACCACTATTAACTTATAAAATGTATCAACTCCTAGAAAGTAAGAAAAGCTTTGGAATTCTTGCTATACACAATAAGACATGAGTAGCCAGATTCATTTTTAGCAAACAGCTTATAGTTCATAAAACACACAATGGAATGTCTTAATTATACTTGTACAAGTACAGGATTCATTTCCTCTTGCTCTGTTTTTCTTTGAGGCAAGTACCCAACTTTAAAATCTATATACTGGCCTATATACTGAAAAAGGAAATATTCTTAAATTATACTGCATACAAGGAGGCATGTGAATCTAGGCCCCACTAGATTCAGATATCAAAAAACAGCAACTTATGAAAAGCCCTAAGATAACATTAGTCATAGCATCAAACGGGTTAGAAATGGGTAAGTAAAAATCAATACAGAGCCTGGTATGGTGGTGCACAGGTTTAATCACAGCACTGTAGAGGCAGAGACAGGTGGACCTCTGAGTTTAAGGCCAGTATGGTCTACACAGCAAATTCAAGACCAGAGAGAGATTTTGTGTGTGTGTGTGTGTGTGTGTGTGTGTGTGTGTGTGTGTTCTTTAAGTAACTTAAGGAGCAGTGAAAGGGTTGTTGAACCCAAATTAATGTTCAGCAATGTATAAACCCCAGTAGCAGGCTCTTTTGAACCAGGGCCATGCTTTCTCACTTTCCCAGCACAGCACATGTGCTTAGGTCATCACCAGCTTAGCTCATGTGATTGCAGCTCTCCTGTGCCAGGCACCAGAACAAAAGATGCATCCCAGCCTCCAATTAGTGCTTCGGGCAAGCACTCACTTTCTTCTCTTAACTCCATTATTCATAGGAATTTCAGGCAGAAAGCACATCAACCTCTTGTGTTAGCAAAAGCAAGTTCAGTACTTAATAACAGGAATCTACTTTCTGATTTATGTGTAGAACATCTTTGTGCCAAGTTCTGGTTTACTTTGGTTTGAGATCAAGACACGGCAATAACTATGAAACATGGTCTATCTCCAGTATTCAATGAGAACTGAGAAGGAAAAATAACAAGCAACCAGGTGCTTCCTGCACAAATGGCACATGAGATACTACACAGCATGAAAACCTGAAGAGCCTTAGCCTAATTCTTTCATCTGCCAAAGGACTGCTCACAGGTGATGAAAAAAGCAGTTCCAGTCACCATGTTTAAACCCTATTTTCAGCCCCATAAACCAGATAGTTTTAGGAAATGAGTTTAATCTCCATGTGACACTCTTCTCTCCTTGAAGTCATTGAGAGAACCCTAAGAGAATGCATGGGATAGTACCTAGAACATAAGCCTGGCCAACAGGAGGCATTGCAACTATGTACACCAATTGCCCTGCCTGAAACACTCTTCAAAGCAGACTAAGAAATATTTATTTCCATGAAAATACATTTTTCACAATTTTCCTAAATCAAATGCCAGAGATCTGGTAAAACGTCTTGAGTAGCTAAAAATTTGGCCTCTTTCACAGATTCTGGACTGAGGGAGGCTTTAAGAAAACTTTTTAATCTTCTCAAGGTACCTGCAACATATATGAGTTTTGATGCCAAAGGAAAATGGGGGGAGATGGCCAGTGTGATCCTGAATCCACCTGTCACCACCTGTCAGTGATGGGATGACAGTCACAGGCCACCATGCCCAGCTCTTTTACACAGGAGCTACAGACCCACACTCAGGCCCTCATGCTTACAAAAACCGCTCTCTCGGCTCCGACTTCAGCAATTCTTTTGAAGTCTTTTATTTTTACAATGATTTCATTTGTGTCTCTGTGGGCATGCCACAGCAGGCATGCAGAGGTCAGAGGACAACCTGAGAAGTGGGTTCTATCCTTCCACCATGTGGGTACTGGAAATCAAGCAGGCTTGGCAGCAGGTGCCTATCTTTACCTGCTGAGCCATCCCCCAGCCCTAAAAAGGTTAAAAGTAACATCAGTAAAAAGTAAATAAATAAAGTAGAAAATGTCAACTAGTTAAAAGAAAGCTGAGACAAATTGCACACAGGTTGATGCAATTGAATAAAGTTTTAATTCTTCACTCAGTTTTTGTTTCCAAAGACATAAATTTTCCATATTTATATTATTGTCTATATTCAAAATATATTTATCTACTAACCAGCAGTATTAATACACTTAGAAATTTAATAAACTTGAAATATTTCAAATTATAATATTATTATGATCTAACAGGTCTCAATACACAACCATTTCTACCCTGATTTATTATGACCTGGTACTTGAATTATTTTTTGATGGTTCTTTAGTTTGTGAACTATATCTAGTGTGTTCTACATTTTTTATGCTATTGTCCAGAGCAGAAAACAGCTATCCTCCTCAGTCTACCCTTCAACTGATACATACAAAACTCTTAACAGGTTGTATGGTAATTAAGGTAAGTACTGTCAGGTGGAAACAAAAGTTAAGTTGCTAAAGAAATTCTAAACTTACCAAGATTGAAACATTGAAAAATCAATGGTTCAGTAGAAATTGTCCTGCATTAAGTTAGATCTGACTGGGCTCAGATGCCCTCTGTCCCTGACCTAAAACTGACAATCATTCTGTATTGTAGAACTCAGTGTATAGTATTTAATGGCAATCATTACATAATTAAAATCACTCCCCCCCCCCCCACACACACATGAAGCTACAGCAGCTACAGACTTGATTCTGCTGTAAAGATGAGTATGCACAATGAGTTCACGATGAAAAATGCAATAATAAAATGTCCAAACTTGGGTTTCAAGTGGAGTTACTCCAATTCAGTAATTATATATTGAATTCCTTGAGTATCTACATAAATAGGAGGTATTTCAGGAACAAGAGCTTGAGAAACCCAGGAGGCTAAGAGAACTCTGTATATATTCAACACTAAAAAATAATGATGTGTGTATACTGAAAGTATGTAAGTGGGGGAAGGCAGGTAGTAGTAGCAGCAGTTGTAATGCAAAAAAAAAGAGAAAACTGCCCTGGGCTTTGTGGGTCAGTACCATAAATTCAGACTGCCTCCCTCAAACACAGAAATCCTGGAAGACGGAAGCAAAGGTCTGCACTGTGCAGAATGGGTAAGAAAGCAGTCAGACAAAGACAGATGAACCAATTTAAAAGGTATACACCTAGGTGATGCAGGCATGCATTAAAAGGCAATTCCATGGTGATGAAATGTAAGGCTTTTAGGAGCTGGAGTACTTCAGGAGCAGAACTGTGCTTAACATGTATGAGGCCATGGGTTCAATTCCACAGACAGAAAGAAAAAGTCACCATTACTCATTTGTTTACATTCAGCTCTCCGTTTTTCCACACACCGATGTAGAACTCAGAGAAAGCTGCTTATTCTCTCTACATCTTATTTCTTTCCCATAACTCAAGATACAAAAACCTTCACAGAACTGTCTTTCCCCCCTACAAAAATTTTTAAAAAATCCCAAAATTGTATGTAAACACACTTATATACAGCAGGCAGCATGTTGTTTGATGGAACAATGCAAATTTATTATTAATATATCTCAAGTGAGCTAGGCATTGGTGGCATATGCCTTTAATCCCAGCACTTGGGAGGCAAAAGCAAGTGGATCTCTCTGAGTTCAAGGCCAGTCTGATCTACAAAGCGAGTGCCAGGACAGGTTCCAAAGCTACACAGAGAAATCCTGTTCTGAAAAACCAAATTTTATATATATATAGTGTTTAGAGGAGAGCAAGTAATGGTGGCTCACAAAATGATCCCATCACCCAGTAATCTGAGGCCACAAGCCACAAATCCCAGACCAAGCTGGGCTACATTGAAATATTCTGGGGGAAGGGAGGTGTTAACAAGTTGGGATGGACAGCTTGACTACAGAGGGAAAGGAAAAGGGAATACACTCTAAATTCTGGCTTGAATACTGATGCTACTTGGTGAAATGAGAAACACGTGTGAACACGGGTTCTTTTTAAAATAGAATGATTTCACAATAAAATGGCAGTAGATGGTTAAATACGTAGCTATGAAGAACGAGAAACAGAGCAAGCTAGAGATCTGATGTTCATAGACAGACGGTAATTATTAAATTCCTGGGCATTGATGAGTGCTCCTAGTGAATGAATGTGCAGAGTGAAGAACTGACAATAGGTAAAAGCCAGGGAATATCAACATTCAAAGGCCACCGAAAACAAGGAATCAAAGAAGATAATGGTAGTGTATGTCTAGAACCAAAAGGAAAAAATGTGTCTCAAAGGAAAAAGAACACTCAGCCAAATCAAAATGCCAAACAGGAGAACAAGTTAAGAACTGAGAGTACTCACTGAATTTGGCAAGCTGGTTGTGTGATAAATGAGGGGAGCACTGCTAGACCCTCAACACACAGACTGAAGACAAGCAAATGGTGAAGACAGCTGACGGGAAGACAAAACCCCTGCAGGAAGGACTCTGAGCAAGGACAAAGAGACACGGTACAGGAAGAACTACAAGGCAGAGGGTCAAGTTCAGACAAGGAGACGAGGGGGAGTCTCTGTCAGAAAAAACAAAGGAAGCTGACATGTAATGCAGAAAGGACAAAGCATAGCCACAAAACTGAGGGGAGACTCGTGCGGCTACAAGGACTGTGTAGGAAGGATAGAGAGAGAAGCTAAAGACTGTCTGTAGGTCACACTGGACACCACCTGTTGACCGTTTATGGATAGGGGCCAGCACTCTGGCTAACAGCTTTCCCTCTTTCACACTACTCTTAATAATCAGAGACAGGGAGTCTGAGTCTCTTCAGCTGTTATCTTAACATCAGATAAGATTTTCTGTTTTAAAATACACAAATTACTTCTCTGTTGTGTTAGTTTTACAAATCTCATTTTAAGATTTGGATTTTTATTTTTTATTTTATTTTTTTATTTTTTTTGGTTTTACGAGACAGGGTTTCTCTGTTTGGGAGGCTGTCGGTCCAGCCTGGCCACGAACTCACAGAGATCCGCCTGCCTCTGCCTCCCGAGTGCTGGGATTAAAGGCGTGCGCCACCAACGCCCGGCTTGGATTTTTATTTTTAATTATGTGTACCTCTAGGGAAGAGAATGCACATGAGTCTAGTGTCCTAGGAGGCCAGATAGAGGGCATCAAATTCACTAGACCTGGAGCTACAGGTGGAAGCGAGGTACCCAAGGTGGCAGCTGAGAAGCAAGCCCCTGCACTCTGTAAGAACACACTCACTCACCACTGAGTCTCTCTACTATTTCTTTTTGGAGATGTGTCTTATAATACCTGTTACAATACCTGCTTCCTTATTAAATTCCTTTTCTCTGAGGTACTTATTTGTGAGTACTGTACACCAGATGGTAAGAAGATGCAACAAGGTGCCATTAACATATACATAGCTAGTGAAATTTAAAGAAAAAAAAATGTTAAATGAAGCTGCAGAAACAGCTTTAGTGGTTAAGGGCACTTCCTGCTTTTCCAGCCAAGTTTGATCCCTAGCACCCACGTGAACACTCACAACCATCTGTAACTATCATTTCAAGGGATCCAGTACCCTCTTCTGACCTCTGCAGGCACCTGGCACACGTGAGATGCACATACATATATGCAAGTGAAAAATTCACACTCATAAAAATGAACTCATCTTTTATAAAAGCATTATATTCCATAGTTTCAGATCTCCATTGCTTTAATCTATCACTTAGACACGTGTATATGACATTAATGCAGAAAACTTTCTGTCCAGAACAACTGAACTGAATGTTCATGTTTTTCAAATTTCACTATCTGCCATAAAAGAATCTATGGACCTTCCATATTTCACAAGGGTTTCAATAATAATTAATATAATAATAAATTCTACCAAGTAAACTAGTATCTATTAATTATCCAGCAAGAAAGCTAGGCACATCATATAAATTATTTCTATCATTCCAGTACCTATGGAAAACAGATATTATTCTCCCTATTTTATAGGTATGCAGAGAGGTTAGGTAAAATGCCCAAGATTACAAAGCTGACATTCAAGTCTAGTTCCACATGCTTGAATTTATGGGCATGAATAATGCTTTAGACTATTAACAAACTGGGTTCTTCAATATATGTCACATGAGATATTAAATCATAAAAATAAGCTTTCAAATGATAAAAAGAATAGTTTAAATGAACATTTATAACCAAAATATTAGCCAGATACATTATGCTAACATGTCTCCCCTATAGTTGTTTCAATATTGGAAAAGACACATAAAAGGAAGCTAGACCAAATTATGATATTGTATTTAAGAATAACTAGTCTATAGCAAAAATCTTCCCACCTGATCCTTGAAATACACACTCAATCCAGTGAGTTTTATTAGCAATTAACTGCCTACTCCAAAAACACATTTGTCTCTCAGTTAAAAACTACAAGTGGCATGTGTTTCAAAATCAGAAAATGCTAACTTTTGATTAAAAACACTAACTTTCTTATTTCTCTGAATTTGAAAGTTTAAATGAAAAAAAAAAACATCATAATTTACTATGTATTTATCATAGCACATACATACAGTGAACTCTCCTACCAAATTTTTTTTTTTCAGATAGCAAGTCATCCATCAGAACACTATGTGAAGAAGTCTAGATATTTAACAAAGAAAAACCATTGCCAGGTCATCTTTATTTTAACAAAGCACACACACACCAAAAAAAAAAAAAGCATTCATTTATATATCATTATTTTACAAATATAAATAATACCAAGAATTCAAGTACAGTCAAGTGCAGATGCAGTTCCTATTTGTTAATATGTAAACATAAACTAACTATATACATCACATGCCTTTGGCCCAGCTGCAAAACAAAAGACATCAAAAGAAACACTGCACTTGACTGTTCAGTTGCATTCTTATTGAGAATTCGTACCAATACCTATGTAAATAAGGTTACAGCTTTCAGTATCACTTAATGTAAACACCTAAGTAGATATTTCCTTCCCACTGGCAAATATCGCAGGAGTTAAAATTTAGTGATTAAGTACTCAAAATCTTAATTATGTCTCAATCCTTAAACACTATTAAAGAAATTATTTCTAGCCAAAATTGTCCTATGTCAAAATGGGTATTATTTACAAATTATAGATGTAGAAAACAAAAATGCTTCTTCTTTTTTTAAACTTTAGAATGCACAAAGTTTCTAACAGTTATGTGGGTCTCTGCACATTCACTGACACCACGTGCTTTCACTTTCAATGCCTAGGAGACAGGACTTGAATACACTGAAGATGCTAGGCAATCTGAATTTGAATAGCATTAAGTATATATCTAAAAGGCATTTTTTTTGAGTACCACAAAAAAAAGCAATGACTGACATCAACAAGACTACAAATATCCAGTTGAAGGCACATGGGATTATTTACTATTGCGTCACCAAAGATTCTCCACTTGGTTCAAGATTAGAAACAGAATCAGCTCTTAGAACCATTGACTTGGCTTCATTTGTTGACGTTTCCTCTTTCCCAGTCTCTTCTTGTTTCTCTTCTAGTTCCTCTGAACCAGATGGTTTTTCAATCACTTGGCTTGTCTGCTCTGTCACTGGTATTTTGTCATCTCTCTGCTCTGTACTATTATCAAGAACATCTTGTTCTTCTAAAGATTCTGTAAAGAGAAAGACATCAGACTTCAGGAATAGCCAAATGTCAAAACCGCTAAATAAGGCAAAATCAAAGATAAGCATACACACGTACTAAGAAAAAGCACAATGGTCTATTTACCTTTTAAATCTTCTACAATAAATTCTTAACTCTATATCACTTAGGTATGAGTATAACTGACAAATTGGAGGAAATAAACCCATACTTTTATAATTTCATATACATTAAGCTTCTAAAGATACATCTGCAATCTCAAGGCTCCAAGCCGGGTGTTGGTGGCGCACACCTTTAATCCCAGCACTCGGGAGGCAGAGGCAGGCGGATCTCTGTGAGTTCGAGACCAGCCTGGTCTACCGAGCGAGTTCCAGGACATGGTCCAAAAAACAATACAGAGAAACCCTGTCTCGAAAAAAACCAAAAAAAAAAAAAAAACCTCAGGGCTCCAACAGGATGAGAATCTATAGTACATTGATTTTTTTCTTTTTCTTTTGATGACTTGATCCAAACTTGGAAGAACTAGCTCCATCAGATTGGTCTGTGGGCTTGGGCATTTCTTGATTAATGATTGATATGGGAGGGACCCAGCCAACTCTGGACAGTACCACCCTTAGGCAGGTGACCTTGAGTTGAATTTTAAAAAAGCAAGTTGAGCAAGTCATGGGGAGCAAGTCAGTAAGTAACACCCCTCTGCAGTCCACACTTCAGTTCCTGCCTGGAGGCTCTTGGCTTGAGTTCCTGACCCAAATACCTTAGTGATGAACTGTGACCAGGGAGTTGGGAGTTATAAGGTGAAATAAACCATTTCTTTCATGAAATTGGTTTTTTAAGTGTTTTATCACAACAATAGAGGACAATAAGAGTCGAGAAAACAAACCAAAAAAATGTACGCTCTCCTCTGTTATTGAACAGAAAAGTGTTTCCTTACACCTAAGCAAAACTGGAAGCAATGTATAAATGTATGCTTTTGTGTATATACATGTATGTATATGGAGACAGTATTCTCCAGACCTTATATACATCTCTATTATTCAAGGATGAGAGAAGTCAAGATCCACCTTTCCAACTGTCTGTCTTGTCTCTTTATTCCTATCCAAGCCCTCACTATTTAAACTTAGGAAATAGAATATGCTACATACTTTATTGTGCTGGGACAAAGAAGGGGTCTTTTGCCTTCTGTCTATACACAGAAAGTTTGTCCCTACATGAAAAGTTACTCCCTTTAAATTCTAATTATTAATTTAGTTTTAATTTAAATCTTAGTAATAATAAAAAGTTTATTAACTTTCTGAAATTCTTTAAATATTAAAGAATGAGGTGGGGAAAGGAGTGATAGAAGCAGCGAAAGTTTTGAGTCACCAAATCTTCAAGTCAAAGATGAACATCTAGCTTTAAGGCATTTCTCATTTTTTTATAATAAACCTAATATTCTTGCTAGCAGAAAAGTAGTTAAACCACATGAGCTAAGCAAAAGACAAAATTTCCTATACTCATAAATGTTATTTAGGACAAACTACAAGTGTTATTGAAAAAAAAATCTGGGGGAAGGTCAGTCTGCTTATGGAAAGGTTCTACTTAAATTCCTTGTAGCATATAGTCAAAATTTCACAAATTAAATAGTTTTGCAAGAAAAGTATATGTATTATGTACACACAACTGTAGAAGTACTAGAAATCCATGGTTTTAGCATATTAGTTTCAATAAACACAAACAAACCTTTTGTCAGAACTTGGAAAATATTTTTAAAGTATTGCCTCCTAAAACAGATATTCTGGACTCCCATCTACGGGATTAGTTTTACAACTACTTTCTCCTTTTATAGAATAAAAGGTCCAGATTCCATGGTTGGGGGCATCCACATAATGATGTATGACAATCCAAATAGTAGTGATCACAAAAGTAGCGAGGAATGGTCATAAATCATACATGTGACACATGATTATAGAAATCCTGGCTTACTATAATCCAGAACTTAAATGGCATTGCCATACCACTTGAAATCTTAACAGAAACCCAGGGAAGAAAAACACCACTCATTTGTTAACCAAGCAGGGCAAAAAGGAAAAGTGACACTCTTATGTATATATACAAATCATTTCTGGTACAAAAGCAACCAAGGTCTTCTGCAGAACACTTACGGGTTACCAACCATTTGTAATTTAACCCTCACAGAATTTATTCACAGTAGAATTTTAAGAATCACAGTTTTCCACAACTCTCTGGCCATAAACCAATATTTATTCAGCAATAACTTTGTCATTTGTTTAGTAAGCATTCTGCAACCAACCCATCAAGCCATATAAAATGAAAAACAAAAAGCTAATAACATAGAACACAATCCACAAACACCATGTTTAAGTGAACATAGGCACATACAATTGGCTAAATTCTAACACATTAACACAATAGTAGAGGGGTCAACGTTCAAAGTTTATTATATTAAACTTTCATAATATAACTTTTAAAACTTTACCAAGTTAAAGCCAATTTTAAAATTCTAGGTTTGTGCAAAAAGCTAAAACAGAGAATGGAACTGGAAATTTTAAAAATCTATAATACATGAATTCAAAGAAATACAATGTGTCTCAACACTTAGAAAATATGACGCAGTTTCCAGTCAAAATTATATTTCAGAAAATATATGAAAAACTAAAATCTTAATGAAATGAAGTAGGGGTTGAAAATAACTGAAGTGTCTATTTATAAGTATTTTTCTTGGGTTGATCTGTAGAAAAACAATCTTGATGGGAACAACACTATAAAAGAAACTGGCATGTTACACACAATGATGCAAATTAGTTAGCATTTGATGTTGAGAAGCCAATTCCACCTTACAGGAAACCATACAAGATCTAAAAGACCAGGTGCACAGTATTAACAGACATGTAATAACAATTTTACATTTAAACACTAGAGCATTATAATAAGACCATGCACTATCTCCAAAGTACACATTTCTATGGGAGCATCATTTGCCTATTCTAACAAAAACAAAAATTGACTTTTTTCTGCTTTGTTTAATGAAGCTTCAGTTTAAACTAGTTTGGTAATATAAAATACAGTTTAAAAGATGTTAGTATTTGACCATAAGATACCAAAAGAATAAGACTCAAAATAGTGACCTGAATGACCTAATTATATATGCAAGAAAAAAATCATTCAAAGCAATTTTGGCATCTATAATGCAAAACAAACAAAAAACAGTATATCACAATGTGATAAAACAAAAATGATATATCAATCTGTTTTGTTCCCTATTCCTATATACCACCTTTCATTCCAATATTACTAAGAAGGCAGTGTTTTCCTACCAAATAATAACTGACTGACTGTTTAGGCTAAGTCTCAGCTCAACTAGACGACTCAAACTAAAAACAACATAACTGTATAATAAAAATACTATTCCTTCACCTACAAACACACACATGCAAAAAGATATTAAGAGCCTACCTTAGCTTTAGATTCTTATCCTAGCTCTCAAGAAAGGAAACAAATAATGTAGCAAAACAATTTCATTTGTTTTTGCTTTGTAGAGAAAACTTGGTCACTATGTACACTATCCATATTCCTCCCCATCATTAAATTAAAATTGACAATCAGTCTTTAGGTCCATAGGTTATAAAACAGGCAATTTTGCCTTCCTTAGGGTCAGTATATTTAAGGAACAAAAGCATGAATTTCATCCCAACTCATAAGAAAGACTCAATAAATAATCCGATTAAATTATAACCAGTTTTTAAAAAAAATAGCCAAAATTCTAAACATAGAATATTATCTGGTTATTTATATTGGTGAACAATTCAATTAAATTAAGTGTTTCAAATGAAGCAATGACCTAAAACTAATCCATTAGGTGGAAGTGTTTGGAAAAAGTAAACAGAGGCCGGGTGTTGGTAGCACATGCCTTTAATCCCAGCACTCGGGAGGCAGAGGCAGGAGGATCTCTGTGAGTTCGAGACCAACCTGGTCTACCGAGCAAGTTCCAGGACAGTCTCCAAAACAATACAGAGAAACCCTGTCTCAAAAACACAAAAAAAAAAAAAAAAAAGAAAGAAAAGAAAAAGGAAAACAGAAGATCAAATTACATCTAAATTTAAAACAAAATATAGCAATATACTATTTAGAAAGCTCAACTTTGGTGAGGAGTCTGATAGATACGCAAGAGCCAACAAAATTTTCATTATCAAATGGTAAAATTTCCTAGAGCATCATAAGAAAAACAGAATTCGTTTTCATTCAGTGTAACCCAATAGTAACAATATTTTACATATAAGAAAAAAAAAGAACAGATGTCAGATTACCAGATTTTATATTATATAAAGTTTACTTAACTATCAGTATTGGACAGGAGCCATGAATTTTCATATTATCAAGTAAACACAAGGTAACTTTCAACTAAAGCAATTACCTGAGCTCAACACAAACATAACTGAGTAATGGAAACAATATTATTTCAAACACAGTAGCAAAAGAAGGAACCACTTAACTCACACAAGAATGTGGAGCCCTCATTGCTCTGATTAACTACGTCTATGACTAGAATACTAGGTATAAGGTATTTGGATTTTATTTATCATTATTTCACAGCACACATGTGAAAGCCAAAGGACAACACTGTCGAACAGGCTCTCTCTTTCCACCATTATGCAGACTCAAGGTCAAACTTGGCTCATCAAGCTTTCATGGCAAGTGCTTTTGCTCACTGAGTCATCTTACTGACCGAAGTTTTTGAGGGTAGGAAAAAAAACAATCAACCACTTTAATGTCAGTTGGCAGAGGTAATTTTTTATGTATTATGCATTGTGTATTTATACATTATCATTTACTCATAAAAGGAAATAAGGAATCTAAAAGCAAGTCCTTTTTCGGAATGCCACAACTAGTTCAGTTTTAGAAATATAACAATATCCCTAGTTTCTTGTGTTTTTGTTATTGTCTGTTGTCAAAATTTCTGGATGTACAATTCTTAAATGCAAAAATGTGCAGGGATTAGCAGGAATTTCTTCTAGGTCTCTTTGGTGAAAATCTGACAATATTTCAATGCTATTCTAAAAAGTGATACAGAATTTTTAAAAACCTCACCCTAAATGCAAATTCTTCTAATATCTAAAATTGAAAATTTGCAGATAAATCTTAACTGCAAAGACCTGTGGCATAAACTGGGAGGAAAAATTCTTGGTTCTAGATGATTTATATAAATGCTTACTGATATTTGTTGGAAGAAAACTTCAGAAGAAAATTATCTTTTGCAGTGTATTTGTAAATTCAACAACATACTCTGTACAGTTCCTGCTCTTAAGAAGCTATTTCAGTATGCTTTAAAAAAAAAAAAAACGAAAACAAAATTCCTGTCCAGTCCTCAATTTTCTATAACACCGATAAATTTAGAAATCAGAACTTTAGTCTCCCAGCTACATTGGCTGCTGGCATAGAGCAAGTGAAATCATACTGTCCAACATAATTGCTCAATTTAACCACCAGTGTTTAAAATAAATGCAGTTCTTTTTGTTTATCAGAAACACTTGGCATCATTTGCAATAGAATCCAGCTTTGGACTGATAATTTTATTATTATAGTCTTGGAGAAAAGTTTCTATCTCCTGAAGAAACAAAAAGAAAAAAGGTAGTTGGCCACTCTGATGAATTCAAAGAGAAAGGACAAAAAAGTTACTACTCCAAAAACGTCCTTAACAAAATGGAATTACTGCTTCAGCTTTTAGTACTAAGGACTAATCAGACCCTGCCTCAAGTGTAGTCTTCACCTATTAACATTACCTTACTGGGGTTCACTTTGAGCCAGTTAGACTTCATTCCGGAGATTTCAGATAGAAAATGAGACATCTGAGGTATTGTTCCTCCTAGATTAGATGAGAAGGAAAGGTATAGCTGTGTGTTGTTTACTAACTATCCATCTTGACCTTAGTAGAAGAAATAAAGAATAGGACCCATTATCAAGATTTATATTTTGTTGGACTTTTTTTCTTTTCCTCTTTAAAAAAAAAATCAAACAAAAAATACTATTGTCTTTCAAGCATTCACTTTAGCTTTCATAAGCAAGGTTACTCATGGAAGGGACTTCAGTTTTTCCTCAAGGCATCTTCAGTATAAAATCCTTTATTCTCAGTTCCAAGAGGCCGCAATGCCAAGGCAGATGGTTTGCATGTGTCAGCATGCAGCTCCGAGCATGACTTAAGCAAGAGAAAGAGGTTGACACTGTATGGAGTTGATGCTGCAGATTTGGTGATGAAGACGCATTCGTTCAGCGTTGGAAGGACACAGGCTCAGTCACAGCTGTCTGTATTCATGATCACTTTGATACTTGTTAGTAAGCCAAAAGCCAAGCCCAATTCCACATATATTTCTGATTCATTCCTCAAAGTTTTTTAAAAAAGAACCTTAAATCTCATACTAACCTTCTGATATATAAAGTATTCACTGCTTCATATAATCCAGCTAAAGCAATTTTAATACTTTTATGAAAACAAATCAAATGTATATAAATGATAATTGCTACAAAATTTATCAACTTCCATGATGTTTTCACACACTAGGCAATAGTACCAAAATATTATGGTCTGTTTCATAATTTTGGCCATCTTCATAATTTAGAATGAGTAAAAAAAAATGAGTGAATACTAGTAACACGAAATAGTTGGCAGTTTTCAACTGTACCTTTTCCATTTTTTCATGAAACTTCCTTAAGAATTCCTAAGATAGACTAACAAGAATAATTCTAAAACACAAGTTCTGCTAAATCTTACTTCTATACAACAAAGTGACTTTTTTTTAATCAGGCAATGTTAAGTTCGTGGACTTCTAATAAACCGTCCAAATGAAACACAGTGCTATTAATATTAACCAAGTTGTTCAAAACATGCAAAGATATCTTTCCAACTCCTAATTTCCTACTTTCTGGTCATTTCTACCAATCTGAGTGGTAGACACACACCTATTCTATCCACACATACTCTAATATTTTGTCCTGAGAAGAGTTGTTTCATAATTTCAGTGTTTCATTTAGACACATCAAAATGATTCCATGAGATCATCACTAGTCAAGTCTCTTGAACTTCCGATGAGTTCATTCCATAAACAAAGCTTAGTCAACTGGTGCTAAATGCTGTTGATCACAACATGATCTGCATTTAAGAACTGAAACACATCAATCACAGAAGAAGCCATCAGAGCAACAGCTGACATAAACATGCTGAAGAATTTGATAAATCCACTGTCATCATTATAAGTATTATACTCTTATTATTAGGCTACATACATTACCAAGACAAACACTTCAGTTAACGTACTCATACCTTCACTGAAATGGCTCTCTGGTGAGGGTATACTTTCTGATGACATGGGACCAGCTGAACTTGAGCCTTCCACTGCCTGCCTCTTTTCAAAACTAAATTCTGGAAGCCGAGGAGCTTGAGGCCTGGTTTTTCTTGCAGGATTCAAGAAAAAGCAGTAGGCACATCGAAAAGCTGCATAGATTTTTTTTAATAAAGAAAAGAAAAGTCAACCAAATTTCAAGAACTAATCAGATAACTCACAAGATTACTTTTATAAGTCAGACTTGTTATAAATGTATAACTTCTGAATGAGTTGTTATAATAGGTATTCTAATCAACATTAATTTTAAAGCATATTGCATGATTACTGACAATTCAACTATTAATTTTAAAGTAGTAATGCTGTAACAAGTTAAATAGTTTAATAGTAAAACTATGTAAATAATAATTATTTAAATACTTGACTGAACTTGCATTTCTAGTCAATAGAATAATTACATATCTTAAAACCCAGAATCTTGTCCAAGATGTAACATGTTGTATTTCTAAAGCATACTTTATCATTGAATATTTAATAATGGCTGCATGTGAAAATAATTGGTGATCTTAAAAGTAGATGCTAATGCTTAAATTCCCACCTGCAGTAATTAAAACAGACTCCCTGTAGGTGGGTGTGGGTAGCAGAACATCTGAGAACAGCTAACTTAGAAGATGTGCATTATAAAAAGGAATTGATTTAGCTTTTTTCCTTTGTTTTTAGTATTAAATAAGGAGACAATGTACCTGATCGATATGTACAGTCAATACCTAAAATGTTATTACATGGGAGTGGGTGAGAATGTTATATTTACGAGTAAAATATTCAGACCTAACTATCCAAAAATCCTTACCAATGTATTCAAATTCTTCCTTCAAAGCCATCCCATTGTGAGAAAAACACTGCTGGCATATGAGAGCGTACCTACACCACAAAGGAAAATAACACACTGGTTACAACTAAAGATAAAGTTCACCAGAGAGGCCACTTTTCCATTGTGACTTATATCAAACACAGATGACTATGCCATAATAAACAAATGTTAGCAAATCATTAGCAACACTCCTTAAGCAAAAGCTGAAGTTAAACAAACCTAAATTTCAATCAGTTTGAAATATAATTTAAGAGTTGGGAATGTAGCTCAGTGATAGGATGCTTACTTAGCATGTGCGAGATCCTGAGTTCTTTCCCCAGCATCAATAAACACTTTATAATAAACACGGGACATTTAAATAAATGTGTGTGTGTGTGTGTGTGTGTGTGTGTGTGTGTGTGTGTGTGTGTGTGTATGTAAGGGCATCTATACATAGTTTATACATAATATTAAAAATAAACTAGGGAACAGCTGAATATATCCTAAGTTAACAAAAGCAAGTTTAGCAATCAAGGGCTTGAGAAATGGTTCAGAGATTAAGAGCATAACATACACTACTGTTCAGAGTTTGATTCCCAGCCCCTACATTGGCAGCTCACAACCACCTGTAACTCCAGCTCCAGGGATTCATGCCTCTGGCTTCTGTGTGTACTTACGTTAATACATGTAGACACATATACATATATGCAACTTAAAAATAATAAAATATATTTTTTTAAAGTTTAGCAACAAAACACCTAAGTTTCTCAATAATTTATTCCTGGGGATGGTAGCTTCCAAATTTGTGATTTGGTTAAGACTGGAAATGATGGAACCTTCTTAGAGATACAGTATAAATATTATGAAAAATAAAATTAAAGGAAACTCTGAGAAATCTTGTAGAAAATAAATGTATTTAATTCTATATAACTTGGGCCAATAGGAAAAATGTATATGATGTTGTTCTAATACATTTCTCATAAACATCTCATTTTCTGTTCTCTAATCAGAACTCAACATATTCTTGGCTTAATCAAACCATTCTGTTTTGAATAATATACAACTTACATTAGCATTAAATCATGTTTCCTTTATGAAACTGATACCAACTAGTAAAACTGTCAAACATGTTCTCTATTATTCCATGAGGTTTTTGAAAGCCTACACAATAACAAATGCTTTGCACACTTATAACTACCTTCCTAGACATATGGTAAGGACCACGTAATATAATCAGAAAAACAGTAAGAGTTAAATAATGCAATTTTTTTTTCATTACTACTGGAAGTATTTCCATCGCCACCAACAACAGTGATACACATTTAAAAAATCCATTTCTCATTAACCTATCAGGTTTTTGCTATTCTTGCTCTCTTCAAATTTAGTAGTTTGAACAAAATAATTCAATTTCTCTAATATGATAGCAGAACTAAAAAGTACAAATACAATCCACAAAGCATCACAAATATATACTGGCCAATAATGTTTTTTTCATGTCCCTTTATCTACAAGCCTAGCAAACATTACCTGTTCTGTGGACCATCACCAACTAAATATTCAACAATTCTATCCAGAGCACCTCGTTCTCGGGGGAGAATGGGTCTTGCTAAGGGTGGACCTGGAGGATGAAGGCCTAGCAAACAAGTAAAAACACATGAAATTTGTATGTATAAGATACATACACAAGATTTAACTCAACTACCAAAGAGATTTAGGTGTGTTAGAACATTTAAAAGATTTTAACAAAATACTAACTCATAAATCTCTATACAGCATTAAATGTTTAATGAACCATATTATAAAAATCTACTACATATGTACATCAGAACCACCAGCATTATTTGTTAGGATATGAAACTATGTTGGGTTCTGTATGAACTGATTTTTAAAATACCCTACTCCTAAAAGCCTATGGTAATAATTTAGAGACTTCCACTTCGGGCTCAGAGTAACAGATCAGGGTTACCTTTCCCAAAGACTGTGAGAAATATATGAAGTGTATTAAGAATTAACAGCATATTTCTAAGCAATATAGATTCAATTTCCTTAGAAAACTAAAAACCAGGACAAATACTACAACTGCCCCAGCCTTTTGCTTCAAGTTTCTAAGCAGAGGTAGGAGGCTAAACCCAGAGGAAATACAGCTGTCTCCCAGAGTTGAGAAGATAGCACTGGAACTCTGGTGAAACCGAGGTAGCTCAAATTCAAATGACAGTGTCAAAGAAGAGAGATGACATGAAGAAAAAAAATCACGTAAGTGTTGTGGAATATTACTTTATGTAAAGGTGCATTACATTTGTTTATGTTGTGGAATATTAATTTATGTAAAGGTGTGTTGCATTTGTTAATGTTGCATTTGTTTAACTAGGCAAAGATATGTTACATTTGTTTATGCTGTATTTGTTTAATTATCTAAAGATGTGTTGTTGTTTTACCTTGCCTGCCTAAAGCATCTGATTGGTCTAATAAAAAGGTGAATGGCCAATAGATAGGCAGCAGAGGGATAGGAGGGCTAGTGGGCAGAGGCAATATGTAGGAGGAGGAAGCTAGCCTCGGAGGCCGGGAGAGGGAATGAAGGAAATGACCAGGGCCAGCCAGGCAAGCAGTTACCAGACAGACAGACACAGAAGCAGGAAAAGTAAGACATACAGAATGAAAAAAGGTAAAAAGCTCCGAGTCAAAATGTAGATGAAGAGAAACAGGTTAATTTCAGTTTAAAAAAAAAAAAAAAAGCAAACCAGAAACAAGCCTAAGCTCAGGCCAAGCATTCATAACTAGTAAGTCGCCATGATTTGGGAGCTGGTTGGTGACACAAAAGAAAGCCTGCTACACTTAGGCATCTACAGAGGGTCTCTCAAAACACTCAGCTGATGGATCTAAAAAAACTACCTTGAAAGTAGAAATGTCTCCTCCAAAAGATTGAAGGAAACAGTATTCACACAGTCAGAATGACTGCCTGTTTTAAGAGCTAGAGTAGAAAATCTCAAAATAAACAAATAAAAATTTTAATTTTTAAAAAGGAAGAGGAGAGCCAGGCATTGGTGGTGCACACCTTTAATCCCAGCACTCGGGAGGCAGAGGCAGGAGGAACTCTGTGAGTTCAAGGCCAGCCTGGTCTATAGAGAGAGTTGCAGGACAACTTCCAAAACAATACAGAGAAACCCTGTCTCGCAAAAAAAAAAAAAAGGGAGAGGAGGAGGAGGAAGAAACATACCCAGTAAGGTGAAATTTGCACTGTCTGGCATTCAAAACCTACCAGCCATGCAAACAAACAAAAAAACAATGTATAATGAGGAAAAAATATTTCAGATATGACTCAATTGGTAGGTAACTTCCACATGTTTGAGAATATAGTAGATATGAGAAAAAAAAACCAAGTACCAAAACTAAACTTCACAGATGAAGACTACAATGCGTAGGATTAAAAAAAAAACCCATAGATGAGAAAAAGACATTATAAAAAAGATATTGGTGTACTTGAAGACACAGCAATAGAAACCATACAAAATGAAACAAAAAAGACCAAAAATTAAGAGGGGTGGGGGACTCAGTAAGTTGTAGAACAATTTCAAACAGTCAAATGAACAGTCTGTAGGGAAAATAAAAATATACATAATTAAAGAAATAATATATAACTTTTTCTAAATTTGCAAGTTTTAAAACCACAGAATCTTAACAAATCCCAAACACAAGACACACAATTCTGCACACACACACACACACACACACACACACACACACACACACACACACACACACCCTAAAAATGATCAAACTGCTTAACAGTATGCCAACAGAGGTACATCATAGGGAAAAAAATGACAGCAGTCTTCTCATCAGATGCAAGCTAAAATGAAACTTATGTTTACTATTCTGAAAATGAAAATGTAAGACTAGAATCTGCATCCACCATAAACAACTTTGTAAACAAAGACAAGGCAAAATGAGGTCTTTATCCAGATGTTTAAAACAAAAAAATTCATCAATGGCCAAACTACAAGAATAATTTTTACAAGTCCTTGAAGCCAAAGGAAGTGACAATAGATATAAATACAAAAATGGATCTAAGCTTCAGTGGTGATTCAGCTGTTAAAGCACTGGCTGCTCTTGCACAGGAGCTGGATTTGTTTGCCAGCACCCACATGGAGGCTCACAACCACCTGGAACTCCTGTCCCATAATATCTGATGCCCTCTTCTGTCAAACATAGAAGGTTGGGCTTGGTTATGAACACCTTTGACCCCAGCACTTGGCAGGCAAAAGCATGTGGAACACTGTGTACATAGCAGGCTCCAAGCCATCCAAGGCTACATAGTGATACTACATAACTGATTAAATAAAAAATAATTGTGAGATTTATAATATGTATAGAAAGTAAAATGTAAAATAAAAGAGAACTAAAATAAATACTAAATAAATAACACAAGAGCCAAATGAGGGAAAATATTAATTACATTTTTGTCCTATCTTTAAAATTATATATGAGATGGCATCATATCACATGAACAACTGGAATTAGAGATATTTTTTAAATATCAACACAACCATTAAAATCACATATCCAAAAATGTGTTACAAACAATGTGGCAGTGAAAAAAGGTTAAATGTAGTCATAAAATTTTTCAGTTCAAAAGGAGGCAGCAAATGAAGAAAAGGATAGCACAACCCAGACATAATCACTGCAGCATGGGCAGCATCCATGATAAAACAGACTACCAGACTAGATAAAGAAGCAGCTCTTCAATACATGCTGTGTATATGCTTTTAAGAAAAATAGGGAAAATAGATACATTCTAAGTAAAATAGAAAAACACAAAAATATGCTAACACTAAGCATAAGAAACCTTAAATAACTATGAAGTTCACAAGGACAGGGGTATTGACTGATGATCTAGGGACCAGTAAGATGGCTCAGTGGGTAAAGGTGCTTACCACTGATGTGAGTTCAATCTCTGGAACCCACAGGGAAAAGAGAACCTAACCCAACAAGTTCTGACCTCCATACACATGCACACACACCCATAAATGAATAAATGTTATAGTTCTTCCTTAAAGAACAGCCATGCCAAACATTTAAGTCATCATAAGAGAACTTCAAACACATAAAACAAAAGCTAACAGAAATTCAAAAAAAAATAGACATATAAAATTAAGGTTGGAGGTTCTAACCTTTTCCTACTAATAATTGTTTTTTTAAAATTAAATTTACATAAAATCAGAAAAACAGACATGAACACTCACTACTACCAGTTTTATCCAACAGAAACAGTTACCAAAACAGGGCATAATGGGTCATTAAACAAGTCTCAATATGTTTAATCAGATCCAAACAGCACAAGGTATAATCTGACTACAAAAGAATTTGGATCAGCAACAGAAAACATCTTAAAGCTCACCAAACAAATTAATATATCTCACTAATTCAGGATGCAAAGCAAAATGAAAACAAGTTAGAAAATATTTAACTAGGTTAAAAAGAAAGGCAAACAAAAAAATTCATGTGTAGCAAATACAGTACTTAGACAAACACTCTACCACTGTGCTAAATCCCCAGTTACCAAATTAGATTTTGAAAGCATATATTTTAAAGTGAACAAGTCCACAAAGCAATCTGGATACATAAAAGCTTCCTGCAACTTGGTAATAGCTTGGTTAAATAACTTAGCAACTTTTAAAATAATACATCTTAATACTCACGTTGTCATGAGAAAGAGTAAATAATAAACATCAAAAGCAATTATTGTAGAAATACTGGGCATTTTTACACAGCTTGGCAAATTATCAAGTACCTGCTGGTTATTAATTTTCAAACATATGGGAGCACTGTGGTAATATACATTAAATTGATTCTCTCATAAACATGTTAGAATAGAAAAATGAATTATTAATTTCCTCTATAATAGATTATTTAACTCATTCATGTTTTGGCAATGTACAATATAAACAGTATTTCTACAGAAACTAATTAGAAACTTAGGCAAAACAAGCTTTATTTACATGCACATGAAATTTAAGCTACAGTTGCTTTTATAGCCCTATTGTATACAGTGTAATCCTTACAACTATATAAGTGGCTAAGTTCCTGTGAGTCAAATACTCTCACTGGAAGTCCTTACATTAACAATCGAAACTTGAATTTACAAAATATGGGTATCTCAAATCACCTAGATAACAACTGAAAAATTAGTTGTTTTCAATCCATTAAACTTTCTCAAATTCACAAAATACATGACTATTTTTATCATTACACATAATAAAGGTATTATTAAAATTATTTTAAATACTAAGATTTTAATGCATTCGATTTGTAGTCAGTTGTTTTAATTTGTAAATCAATAGCTTCTTAGTCTTCTAAAATCTTAGCTGCATTTTTACAGCAACACAAGCAAGACATTGGGGCTTTTTTATTTACATAAATGTTCTAATTACCCACCTGATTAAAGTAGTATCTACTCTGAAAATCATTATTTATATAGTAGCAATTAGTCATGAAGTACTAAAGTACCTGAATTAACATTAAATACCATAAATAAAATATAGTTTACTCTTATTTAATAATCTGACATGGAAATCTACATGAAACAAGGTCATATGCTAAAGCAGTGAATAGATTTCCATGCCATAATCACACTTCCAAAAAAATGCAAAGCAGCTGGCTATACGTTACACCTCTCTGAGTAAAATCTACAGATCTATCACACACTTAATAGAAAATATTATAGTTCCATGATTTAGTAGAAAAAAAATATACTGCTCATATTTACAAAAGTAATATCAGGTACTACAGTGCTTGAATGTTTTTCCTGAAATATGGTGATTGTATTGTCTTAGTGTCTATCTGAGGAATCAGCAAAGTATATGAGTACTTGCTAAAGTGCTCTCCTCTTTCCCTACTATATATAAATCTGGAGCCATTCTAAGAATTGAATATAAAAAGATAATGCTACACTGTAGACTACAGAATGCTACAAAGTTTTATTGCCATTTAAACAAAGAAGCCATAACAGTTAAATGAGCTCAAGAAATAGGTTTTGGTATCACAAGGTGCCAGCTGTAAAGAGTTATAGCTAATTGAATATGGAACTCCTGCTTAATCAGATAACTGCTCTGCTATTTCCAAATGAAATGCCATTTCCATACTGTCTGAAAATGGCCCATTTTATTGGTAACCAGAGAAAACAGTATAAACTGTAAATAACATTAAGTGCTCTGTTTACCCATTCCTGGAACTGAAGTAGCAGGGGATCCAAGGCGCCTGGGTAAGGCTGGAGCAATAGTCCTCTCTGGAGGTCCCCCAGGAGCTGAAGCGTCCTTTGATGGCCCAGGAGATGCTGGAACTTGTGGAGGAGGGCCCTGGTTAGAGCTTGCTGGTACTGGCGAAAGGTTTCTTTGCGCTGCAGTTCGCTGACGAATCTCTGAGAATAATAAACATAATCTAGACTTAATGTCTAATATACCATATTAGCTACAACCATAAATGACGTTTGCTAAAATTTTGTAGCACCAAAAGGCACTGTATCTAACCACTTAATAATGTGAATTCTACATAATACCAAAACTAGAGAACTCTTTTTATAAATCCATAATTCATCTGTACATATTTATACAACAAAATTAGCGAGGTGGTGGTAGCGCACACCTTTAGTCCCAAGCACTTGGGAGACAGTGCTGGATCTCTGTGAATTCAAGGTCACTCTGATCTACAGAGTGAGTTCCAGGACAGCCAGGACTGTTATGCAGAGAAACTCTTTCTTGAAAAACCAAAAGCAAAACAAAACAACCAAAAAAAAATTGATTTGTTCATTTATTGGCATTTTAAAAGTAAATTCAATATAATAAAATCGCCATCCAGGTATGGGTCACATCTTTTTATAATAAGCCTCCCTAAATATGACCTAACTATGATACAAAAAAGAAAACATCAGAATTAGTGAAAATTTCAAACAGTAGATTTGCTTTTCAATACTAAAAATAATAATTTTAATCAGGAAATATATACATGTATATTCTGGAATAATAAAATAATTTAAGTAGTCATAAAAATGCTATTTAAAAATTATGCTTTGCTATTTAGGTACCTATTCCTTCATACTATGATTACCTTTTGGGCACATTTATTTGTACCAATACATTCAGAGAAGGAAAACTTCCATTGTGTATACATAGTATTTTGTCATAAATAAACCTTTGCTTTCAGTTTTAGAAATCACAGAATTATAGAGGAGGATTGGGCAAATGCACTAAATTTAAGCTGCTGCCTGGTTTTGTAGTTTTATTGGATGACAGTCTCTCTCTTGTTTACATATTATCTACAGTTGCATTCAAACAGTTGCAAAAGGGACCATATGGTTCTCAATGCTATTTACTAACTGGCTATACAGACTATTTCATGATCCTTACTAAATGACAAATAAAATTCTAACTTCCCCTTTTACACCTTAGCATTAGATGTCAAATAAAAAGACCCTTTGTAACTTTTTTAATTCAATATATCACATTAAACTATAAGTCTAAATTACTGGGCCGAAACTAAAGAAATCATATAGTCATTGGTCTAAACTGTAAAAGTGCATGAAACACTTTGGATATGTATTCCATCTAATAGTGCAAAAAAATGCTAGAATACATATATGAAACTCCCTAGGTAACTGAAGAGGACCTGTAACTCCATCTCCCTGTAATGAATTAGAGGCATGAAGCATCAGGCCCAGGACTTCACATATGCTAAGCAGACACTACAAACTGAGCTATGTACTCCACCCTTAAAGTAAACTCTTGACAGGAGGATAACTTAACATTTTTATTAGTAAGCAATCAACAAAATAATAAAATACAGATATTAATTCATACACTAAACATTTCACAAGTTAGTTCTGAATTTCTTTAGTGAAAATCTATGTAAAATAATTCATATCTGTAACTTTCTGTTAATAATTCTTGAGCTGAATACTCTATAATGAAAATAACTATAACTTAATTTTATTCTTCAAAATTCACCTAGGAATTTCCAATAGTGATTTGAAAATCAACTCCTTGTTCAATAAAGCTATAGACTATCCATCAAAATATCTCCTTAGCAATACTGGAAAGACAGTGCAACCACATAGTTGCTTGCGGATTCTCACATAGAAAGGGCACCATGTCTTAGAAACTATACTACCAGACATTATTCCTATAATGTCTCTCAAGAGTCTTAATAGATAATCTAGATGATTTATTGACTCTTCCTACCACACCCTGCTTTTCAAATATAATCAACATCAAACCTTATCAATCTACTTTCTCTAGCTAATTCAATAGTTCTCAATCTTCCTAATGCTGGACCCTTTAATACAGTGCCTCTTCTTGTGGTGACCCCCCAACCATAAAATTTCCATTGCTACTTCATAACTGTAATTTTGCTATGCTATAAATCATAATGTAAATATCTGATATAAAACCCCGTGAATGGGTCGTTAAACCCTCCCAAAGGGGTCAGGACCCATAGGTTGAGAACCGCTGCTCTAGTTGCTTCTTTTTCATTTATGTTACCATAACTTTGTATGATTTGTGTGCTCCTCTCATATCTATACCAGATTATATTCTAAATTTAGATATCTCAGCTTTGTTCTCTGTTCTATCCAATCTCCAAGCTTAAAAAAAAAAAAAACTCCTAGCGAGGAATAAGGGGAACACTCATCCATGCTGATTAAGACTGCAACCTGGTACAGTCACTATGGAAACCAATGTCGCAAGGTTCCTAAGGAATCAATCTACCTCAAGATCCAGCTATACCACTTTTGGGCACATACCCAAAGGACACATCATCCTACCAAAGAGACAGTTGCTCAACCATGTTCATTGCTATTCTATACATTAATAGTTAAAAATTGGAAACAATATGGAATGCTACTCAGATTTTTTAAAAAGTAAAATGGTAAAATACCCAGGTAAATGGGTGGAACTAGAAAAAAAAAATCATCCTGAGTTAGGTAACCCAAGAAAGACAAAGATGGTATGTATTCTCTTATGTGTGTATATTAGCTGTTAAGTCAATAATAACCAAGATATAATCTGTAGAACCACAGAGGTTAGGTATAGAGTAAGGACTAGGAGGGACTAGATACATCTCCCTAGGAAAGGGAAATAGAAAGTTAATAGGTGCGATGGGGAGGAAGAACAATGGGAACAGGAGGATCAAGTAAGGAGAGGGAAGAAATATATGAAAGTAATCTTAATTAAATCACCAAATAATGGGGGAAATCAAACCCCAACTGGACATCTCTTGTCACCAATGAAGCCTCCAGTACTAGAAATGGATTAGATTTAAGTTGAGTTGTTGGCCATAGGGGTCCTATACGAACCCCCAAACAACCTAGTCTGTTGCCAACACTATAGGTTGCTCTCCACAAACTGATGGCAAGGCCCTATTGTTGAAAACAAGACCTACACAACTCACTGAATATGGAGAAGTCTGGCTGGTGGCTCCATAGGACTTTACCTCTACCTGCTATTTTATTATCTTTGATACAGGAAGGTACTCTGCATTCTACCAAAACAGAAACATAAACACTAGCCCAGCTTACAAACCCTTGGATCTACAACACTGTCCTACAATGCTAATACAATGATGGAACAAAGTTTCTGGGAATAATCAACCAATATCTGATTTGTCTTAAGGCCCATGCCACAAGATGAAACTCATACCCAACACTGCTTGGGTGACCAAGAACCAAGGGGAAAACCAAATACTATTGTTTTACTAAAAGAACATGACAATAAAATTACTCCTAACAAACATTCTGCTATACTCATAGATCAGTGCCTTGATCAGTCATCATCAGAGAGGCTTCGTCCTGTAGTAGATGGAAACAAATACAAAGGCTCACACACAGATAATATACAGTGTAAAAAGGACTGGAAACATCCCTAAATGGGATCTCTCCATCAAATTCCTCCCCTTAGGGATCAGGAAACTCAAAGAAAAGGAGGGGGATACAGTATAAGAGTCAGAGGGATGGAGGATACTAAGAAAATAAGGTCCTCTAAATCAACAAGACCGATGCACATGTGAACTCAGAGAATGAGGCAGCATGTACAGGATCTGCAGAAGTCTATACCAGATGGAGACCTAGAGCTGAAAGAAGTAGACACATGCCACCACCCCTAATCCAGAAGCTATTTCCAAATGACAACCACTTGCATATATCTGTATCTATGCCTGTAACCATGGAGTGAACAAGAAAACACATAACCACAGTTTGAAATTCATGATTATTTTAATTATATGTATCCTTGAGGGTATCTTGCATTTCTACATTTCTCAAACCTATATTCTCTCTTAAAGAATTATTTCATATCTGTTCTTCAAAACCCAACTATATCTCCCCCAGATATAAAAATAAGATATAGAAGCCAAGCATGGCGGTATATGCCTATATTCCCAAAGTATGAATCAAGAAGATTCCCCTGAGTTCAAAACCAGCCTAGGCTACAGTGTGAGACCTTCCTTACCTTAATACAATCAAAAGACAATTCCTACTCCCCATCTGTATCTACCTTTGTCTCTAGAGCAGAACTATCATCAACTCTTATCAAAAGCCAACCTTTCTACTTATAAACTAAGATCACATCTCCTCTTGCCTATCCATGGACAATACTCAACTGTCTTCTTTCTCTATATTGTCATCACTTATTTTAATGTCTCCTCAGCAATTTCTCTTAGCACGCAAACATGTTACTGTTTATTTGATGTAGTATGCTAGGCTGTTTACTCAAAATGCTTCCCTCTCTCCTGCCATACATTTCTATACTATTTTACTCAAAGGAGTTGTCTCTTTCCATTGTCTACAACTTCTCCACTCCGACCCTTTATGATTTTGCTTTTTCCCTATCCCTCTATCAAAATGTTCTTTTCAAAGTTACAAAGAACCTCAACACTGACATCTAATACAAATGGCCAGTTTTCAACCCTAAACTGCAGTATTTATCACAAATGATCACCTGCCTAGAAACATCCTCTTCACTTACAGTCTGGGTTCCAAACTCTCCTGGGTTTTCTGTTTCAACACTAGATTTGGACTTAAAGAAAATCTTAACAAGGAGATCTTCCCTAGCAATTCTGCTTACTAAAAATACACTCTGTCGCCGGGTGTTGGTGGCGCATGCCTTTAATCCCAGCACTCGGGAGGCAGAGACAGGCAGATCTCTGTGAGTTCAAGACCAGCCTGGTCTACAAGAGCTAGTTCCAGGACAGCCTGCAAAACCACAGAGAAACTGTCTCAAAAAACAAAAAACAAACAAACAAACAAAAAAACAACTACAATCTGTCCTCCCTGTAGGCACTTCCTATTCATCATCTTTTATTTTACTCTACCTAATTCTAATTTATTGTCTACTTCTTTACAACTTGGAAAACAAAAAGACTTTGTTATTT